ATAAAAATTTCAGTCTATTTCATCCTAATGAAAAGAAAGAGGATACTGGACTGGGGGTACAGCTCAGTGGTAGGGTGCTTGCCTAGAATGTGCAAGGTCCTGGATTTGATCCCAGCACTGCCAGAAAAGGAAAAGAGAGGGAGGGAGGGAGGGAGGGAGGAAAGGGTGGGGGGAAAGAGAGAACAAAAACCTATGTTTTACTCATGGAATTGAATGACTAATATTCATTAAGTGTAAATTAATGTAAATTTGTACAACAGTTTTAGAAAACTGGCAATAATTACCAAAACTACAAAAAGGTCTGTTCTATGATGCAGAAATTCCATTCCTAAGAATATATTCAAATACACACACATACACACATGTATGCACATGCACATATATTCACTAAAATACATCCAGAAGACTTTGTGTATGGTATCATCATCTCTGGATAACTGATGGTTTCCTTGCCACCAATGGACCACCCCTTCTCACTCTTCTACATTTTAGGCTCCCTTCACTTAAACTTCCCACTACATCTTTCCAAAACTTTTTAGCATGGCATTCAAAGACCTTCATAATCTAAACTCTATTTACATCTCCAACTTCACCTCTACTGTGAGTATCCTGAAGGTTGTATCTTATCTATAGTTGAATGATAGCTCCTAACATGACATACAGACCTTTCACCAATATTTGCATTAAGAAAGTGGTGTGGTAATAAGAGAATTCCCCCTTTGATTTTGTCACTCAAATGGTTCAAATTCTGGTTGTGCCATTTAATTGCTACCTGAACAATTGGGGATAGTGCCATTTAACAGTGAGTCATAAGGATTAATCAAAAATAAATATGAGGGCTGGAGTTGTGGCTCAGAAGTACAGGCTTCTCCTAGCACATGAGAGGCCCTGGGTTCGATCCCCAGCACCATTTAAAATAAATAAAATAAAGGTATTGTGTCCAACTACAACTAAAAAATAAATATTTTTTTAAAAATAAATATGAAACATCTGACAAACATAAGATGATCAATAAAAGGAAGCCAGAAATAAAATATCTAAGAATATATCAACATAGAAATCATATGCTACTGAGAAGACACGATAAAATCAGAGGCAGTAAATGTGTTAACATCGTAGCAAGGAATTGAACGTTGCAGAAATACGAGTTACACGGTCTAATGGGTTTTAAATTATATGGTATTTTTATTTATTCCTTAATAAAATTATCAGCTCTGGTTTCAATCGGTTCAACATCTTAGATTTGTTTCAATACACTGATAATTTAGTTCCATTTCCCTCCACTGTTTTTTTTTAATAATAGATTTGCTTCAGTTTTAGTGTCTGTGAAATCAAACATGGGATGGGAAAAGGACTGGACTGAACTCACAGAACCAACAGCGGAGGCTCTGGGGCTCACATTAGGGAAAGGGCGGGGAACTACGGGGCCAAGAAGCTCCAGCCGAGCGACAGGACCAACCCCTTCTTTAGGAGATTTCAATTTTAAGTGGTCTCCTTAAGTGGTTCAGAGCTCACCTCGCTTGGTCCCGAAGCAGCCAGCACTCTGGAAGCTGTCAAGGAGCCGGGGCACGGGGATTATCAGCTGACATGTCGGCTTGTTTTTACCGCCAGCAGATCCCCCATGGCAGATTCACCCACCTTTTCCTGTTTTCTGTCACTTCGTAGAAAACTATTTGGTTAAGATAACACCTTTTCACGTATATCTTAATCTCATAATTTAAAAAGCGCAACAAGGTGTGTTTCTAAGCAGTTATTAAGTATTTCAGAGACGAAGCTATAACCTCTGTCGTGACGAAAGCGCAGCGAAAGAGCACAAACTGAGTTCTGGCCGACCGGATGCGGAAGGGCGTACCTTGAGAAGGGCGTCAGCAAGCCAGCTCTTAAAGCGCAGGCTCCGCCGCAGGCTGGCTGCTCATGATTGGAGGACCCGGAGGCAGCGGAGGCGGGGAGCGCGATGTCAGGTTTTTGGGCGGGAATTGAAACCGCCACTGCTACCAGCTGAAACTTGAGCGCTGCAATTTTCCAGCCTTAACCGCGAACATGGTGCGGCCTGTTAGGTAAGTAGTTCGTTGGATACGGCAGTAGTGGGGATAAAGAGCAGAAGGACACTGTAGGCAACTTGTATGCAGGATTGAGGGAAAAGAGCGTTTAAGACAGAGGACAACTGTGGGAGGGGTGGGATGAACAGTTACCGGGAAACATTCCAGTCAGCAATGAGAGACACCCGTCGCTAAGAGGTGTCCCAGCTTCTTAGCTCTCACGCACTCCTTACTTTGCTTCTCAGCTGTTGCCGTTTCTTTTACCCTCGACTCCATTCAAGTAAGATCTTGTTGTATGTTGCATTTAAACGACGTTTTGCACTTCAGCGAGCACGTACTTATTTGTCGTTTTCGTTTGTTCACCGCTAATCCTTTGGTATAGAAAGAGAAGGCATTCCTGTTTATGGATTTAAAACTTCTAGACATAAAAGCCGATTTTCTTGAGTCACTCAGCTAGAAAATCGCAGGACAATACTCACCCTAAGTCATTTGACTCTAGATCCTTTACTTTCCATTAATACCACCAGAAATTATTCCTCAACTTAATCACAGTTGAATACCATCATAAGCCTAGGATAAGTCATTCATATAGTACAGTCATCGAATATATTTATTTCTGTACTGTATTAGGTACTGGAGGATACATTCTAGTATAAGGTGAGTATAGGGTCCCAAAAATAAACATGCCAATGTCATACAGTAGAAAGGAAACCCTTAACTGTAAGGAAGGAAGGATGGACTTTTCTGATGTATGTCCGGAGATATGAATTATGAGAAGTTAGCCAGGCAAAAATATGGGGCAATCCAGGTAGCGGGAAAAGAGTCAAGGCCATCAGCTTGACGTATTAAGGGATAGCTTGAAGCTGTAGCATTAGCAAGCAGTGGGGAGAATTGTTGGGGATTAGGTCAGATAAGTAGGGCCAAAGAAGGGAGGGCGTTTTAGGCCATCTAAAGGAATTTGGATTTTATTCTAAGTACAATGGGAAACCAATGGGAGAGTTTAAATATGGGAGAGAAATCTAATTTTGCTTTTATAAAGGTCACTAGTGGAGATCGAATGGGGGATGGTGCTATAATGGAAGCAGAAAAATCACTCTATTATATCATTGGGTAGTGGTTTGGAGTAGGATGTTATTAGGGGACATGGAATAGATCAGATGAATTTGGGATAGATATAGATATATTAGAGGTATAGAAGTGGATGTGGAAGTAAGAGAAAAAGGGAATCAAGAATGACTAATATTTTTGATCTGAACTACTAAATGGACAATCTTGCATTAACTGGGATGAGGAAATCATCAGGAAGGCAGGGGGAAAGCGTCACAAGAAAGCAGGGGAGCTAAAATGCCAAACTCCCTTGTGTTCTGACTAAAGAAAATTTAAAGTCAGACACCAAAAGTCATGCAAGAGCAATTTACTATAAGTGAAAGTAAAGTGAAAGTAAAGTCAAAGCAAAGTGAGACTTAAGCAGAGAACATGACACACACACACACACACACACACACAGAGAGAGAGAGAGGATATGATGGCATCTCCAAATTTATTGTCATTTGATGTTTACCAGGAGAACTGGGGACCTACACTCTTTGCCAAACAGGTGTTCAACTCCTCCTTCACTTTGGGCAATGGAGTATTTGATTTTAGTCTGTCCTCTTCGTAACTGTCATGGTGTCCATCCTATTTAGGGGCTTCATTTACAAGTCAATCCCATGTTCATGTGGGCCCTGGGGTCATAGCTGGTCAGCAGTTAACCTTAGTGCCCCTGTGCTGCTAAAGGAATCTTCCTTCCCAAACAGATGGAGACACCTATAGCCATAATTCCTAGCTTTACATCAACCTTCGTGGATCCTGTCAAAAGTTAGTCCCATTGATCCTTTTCTTTTGAGGTGTTTTCCAAATAGCTCCCTTGCTTTTGTTTATTTTCTATAGATTATCTGCCATCACTTGATTTTTCATCTACTCTGATGATAGTTTAAAGAAAACCCTAAAGTAATTTAAAGAACACTTGTGATCTTACCTTGCTTTTCACCACTCATTGCTAGCTACTTGCAAACATTGGGAAAGGAACTGGGGAGTCAAGATTTCTGTTTTCAACATGTTAAATTTGAAATGGATTTTAAACATCCAAGTAGTGAAGATGTAATCCGTTTGTTAGGAATAGCTCAAAGGATAGTCTGCAAACCTCTGGAGGGTCTCTAAAACCTTCTCAGGAGGTCCATGAGGTCAGTACTGTTTTGATAATAATATTTACTATTATTATTTACTTTTTTCACTCCTTTGTCATTTGTACTACAGTGATGATTTGGCACAAATCAATGCAGTGGCACCAGACTTTTAGAAGTCATTGCATTCTTAACTGCTGTGTACTCAGTGAAAAACAAAATCCAAGTTTCACTTAAAAAAGTGCTTGAAATAAGACATATTTATTATAGCTCAACCCTTGGGTGTACTTCTCTTTTTAATAGTCTTTTGGTTTTATTTTACTATTTTTCAACCTCAGAATTTCTAAAGAGCTTTCCATAATTTTATCAGCTCTCAAATTCTTTAACTCTGAAGGAGAGTAACAAAAGTATTCTTCTTTTTAATATTATATGTGAGGATATGGGAAGTATACATAAAGTACTTTACATACTGAAGAATGTTGGTTTTCTCAAGGAATACCACTTGTAAGATTATAAGATGAACTAACCTTTTTTTATTGAACTCTTTTTATTTTAAAGAAAACCAATTGGTTAACTAGATTTCCACACTTGGGCATTTGGCAGAAGACAAAGATTTGGAGACATTTCAGTTAGTACAAAGAGGAGGAAAGAAGGAAGTAACTTTTTTCCACTTTTTTTTTTTTTAAGCATATATTTCTCTTTAATTAACTATATTTCCTAATACAGTAGCATGTGTAAAGAAAGTTATTTTCTTCCAAGTAAAAATACCTCATACTTTTTTTAGTATCTTTAAATAATATATAGGCACACACTAAAAATGTTTTTATTTTATGTACAAATAATGGGCAGATGTTATACCCATAAATTCTATATTCCATAACAATTAAGAACCTGTTTTTAAAAAGAAAGAAAACTCCGCAACAAATTTTAAGACACTAGGATTTCCTTGCTTCTACATCAGGGGGAGAAGGAAGGGAGCTTGCTCTAACAGGAATCACAAATTAGAACTGAGTATTCTCTAAAGCAGAAATAATATAGTGCCATTTCAAGTAAAGATTAGTCAGCTCTCCTCACAAACACTCACAACTACCTGCCAAGAACAGGTAAACCAGGTCAAAACAGCTTAGCATAACTAGGCTTCATGGTATTTGGCCATTATGCTCCTTTAGGCTAATAAATCAAAACAGAAAATACTAAAATAAAAATTAAAGATTTTGAGATTGCCATACAAATTGTTAGTTCCTTGTTGTATCCTCCCTTCTATAACATAATAAAGGGAACATTTTACTGCAAAGAAAATTTGATTTTACCTATCACTGGCCATGAATTTTTGTAATTATTTATTACATAAATGCTGCCTAGTGCCATTATCCAAAAGGCATGACCATTCTGTCCACAATCCACTTGTGCATTTATAAACAGAATTTTCATGATTTACATAAGCATGTCTATCAATGAAGACATTACAATGAGGTGCAATCTAACATCCATAATCTGATGCTTTGCAGATAGCAATGTAGGAGAACAGTATTTGTAATCACCTTTCACTTCAGTGACCTTATATAAAAATTAATTATTTAGAATTAAATTCTAAGTCTCCAAAGGAGATTTTCAAATGTACACATAGAAATGATTATAGAGTAAGATTTTTAAGAAACATCCTCCATGTCCACATCCTGTTGTAACTGCTGTACCATTTTTTCTTCCAGCTGCTTTCCTTTGCCTGCAAGAGGGGCTCGGATAAGATGGATGTTTTGCTTGACTTCTTTAATGTCCTGAACTTTCTGTAGCTCTTTATTTTTCTTCAATCTGTTCATTATAAATTTAGCTTGGCGTTTCTGTTTGATCTCTTCAACTCTCTTCATTGCATCAATAGTTTTATTCCATAGTTCTCGCTGGTATTTGACAGGTTCATTTCTACGTTTTTCAAATTCAAATGAGTTATCCACTGTAAGCTCTTTGCCAGCTGCTTTCCGGAATGCTTTAGTCCACCTGACCTTGCGAGGATTACGCTTCTTTTTAAAGTTCTTATGACATTTGGATTTACAGAATCTGAATACCTTGCAATCATTGCGGACGAACATCATGCCGTGGCCGGGGTAGATGGGCCCTGAACAGAAATAACACTTCTCGATACGCATGTTGAGGCCGCGTGTGTCCCCACCGACCCAACGGCCACTTTTTTCCACTTTGAATATAATTTTCTTCTAATGCTTTCTGGAGTAGTATAAAGATTTATTTCAGATCACAGGAACAAAGTCACCATTTTTTTAAGAGCCCCTTGCATAAAAAATATTATAAGATATTTTATAAAGAATGACTTTTGGTGTTGTTTATAGTGTAATAAGGAAGATGTAATGCACATGAAAAACAATAAAACATCTACAAAAGGAATTTATAAATGCCCAGTAACAACTAAACAGTATATAAATTGAACTGTTAATTACATAGATTGTCTTTATTTTGTGAGCTATGTAGATTAATTTCTTTTCTATATCAGGTATAGTTTTAACTGTATCAGCTAAGTCCCTACTTTAAAGTGCAAATCATGTTTTAGATTTTTAAGTATTTCAAAAAAAATATAAACACAGTTTCCTTTATTCAAGACTATTAATAGCCTTTGTGAGTGAAGGTAAGAAATTAATATTTGTATTAATGAAAAATTTCTGTCTTGGCCATAGACATAAGAAGCCAGTCAATTACTCACAGTTTGAGGACTCTGATAGTGATGGTAAGTAGAATTTCTTATTTTTGCTTAAAAGATTTGGACATTTATTTCATCAGTATTATATAATACATATAGCTCAAATATTAAATATTCCCCAATTGTATTATGAGGTAGGTCTGAAAAAAAATAAGGCCATTAAGAAAGGTTAGGCTTGAACTCTGCTGTATTTATTATATGTTTACTTGTCTGCCTTAAGAGAACTTTGATTCAAAAGTTTGAGAAACATTAGAGTATAGTATACTTTGAAGTAGGCTTTGCCCCTCTTTTTCTTTTCACGGTGCTTGGTCTCAAACACAGGACCTCACAGATGCCAGGTAGGTGCTATACTACTGAGCTGTATCCCCAGTCTAGAATTAGATTTTATATTTCTTTCCCAAACCATCCAAGTTTTCTGTAAATATTTTAGTAATTCCAAGGTTTGATGGGAACTCTTTGGCTTTGGGCATAGCCTTCAGTGCTTACAACTTGAGAAAAAAATAGTATAGAATATAACTTTGAGATTTTTGTTACAGTCATTGGTCAGCAGATATTTATAAATTGCCAGTCGTGTTCTGCATACTGGGTGAGGTGGAGGTGCCGAAAGTTGTAAATTACTGTATTCCTATGTAGGGAAGCATAAACAAGACAGCATATGTTAATAATTGCTAAAGTATGTGATTAAGACTGCATGGACCCTGAAGGTATACATACATGTGTTTAAAAGCCACAGTAGCAGTTTTATAAGTGTCAAGAGAAGAACAACAGTTGTGAGGTGTGACTGGACAGAAAAATCTGTGAGAAACAATATTGGATTGGAAAAGAACATTCCTTTTGTAGGAATTAAGAAGTTTCTTTGGTAGGCTCATAGGAAGCTTATTATGGTAATGGAAAGAAAACTAAACAAAACAAAAAACTGCTACTTCTAGAAAAATTCTCTTCCCTTGTGATACTTCTTACTTTCCTTAGCTTGGTTAATGTACTAGGAATAGGTAATGTGCCTTTGGAAAAGTATTTGCCTACCTTGTGAAGTTTCATTAAAAATCATTAATAATCCCAGCTACTTGGAAAACTGAGGCGGGGGAATCACAAGTTTGAGTCCAGCCTGGACAACTTAGTGAGTCCTTGTCTCAAAATTAAATAAAAAAGCCTGAGGATATAATTTAGCATTGTGGTAGACTTCTTTCCTATCATGTGCAACGACCTGGGTTCAATCCTTAGTATGACATAAAAGTACATTTCCACTTTTCAATGTGATAAAAATTTACGGTTTTTCTAATGGTCTTACAGGTTTTTAATTAATCATTTTTTCCTTGAAACCCTTTGCAATTTATTTATTCTTTAGTGAACTGTTTTTTATAGATTAATATTTTAAAAAATAAAGGCCACCTAAACAATAGGAGTTGGGTGAGAATAAAGACAAACAATACCAATGAAGATTTTTTTTTTAATTTTTATACCTTTATTTTTATGTGGTGTTGAGGATCGAACCCAAGGCCTTGCATGTGCTAGGTGAGTGTTCTACCACTGAGCCACAACCCTAGCCCCACCAATGAAGATTTTTAAACTATAGAAATTAAATAACTTGCTTACCTATAAAACTTGAATTCCAACTAAAAAATAATTTTATTTCTTTTCTTTTTCATTTACACATAAATAGATGATTTTGTTTCTGCAACTATACCTTTAAACAAGAAATCCAGAACAACATCAAATGAGTCAAAACAAGATAAACCAAAACCTATGAAGAATCCCCAGAAAGAAGACATTCAACCACAAGACAAGACCCCTAAAAAAAGGTGAGAGGTAAGACAGTAAATATATGACATTAGGTGTGTTTATTTAAGAGACACAGTTTCAAATTCTCAGTTTTAATTAGAATTTGAGCAGAGTTATAGATCTTGTTTAGTGACTGTCGGAGGATAGGGACATTAAAGACTATTAAACTCTCTTCTTATTTTAAAAAGGAATTCATAAACATGTGTCCCATTAAATATTGAGACAATAATAATTATGGACCTGTGCCTGCGTCTGCAGTCCTCAAATCTTACAAGACTACTTTTTAAAAAGTTACACTTTTATAAAAAGTTGAAAAATTTTTAAACCATGTATTTTTCTGCAGATAAATGATACTTTTCCTTTCCTGTGACTTGTCCAACAGTGAAGATCCTGTAATTCCCAGACTAAATCTGGAATTCTATTAATTGGTATCAAGAGGGAAGGGAGAGTGATGGAAAGAAGTTCTGAGAGACCCAAAACTTGTCATATGGGGAGGAGATGGGGCAAAGAGGCACTTGGGATATTTTACTGCTAGAAGTTTCTCTATCCCATGTCATGATCTACATTTTTCATTCTTTGTTTTTGAGTTTCTCGTATATTAAACATAGTGAAACAATAGCCCATAGATGGGAGAGAATATTTGCAAATGTATAACTTAGAGACACTTGCATCCAAAGTACATTAAGAACTCAAACTCAACAGTAAAAAAGCCAGTAACCCAATTAAAATGTGCAAAAAATTTGAATAAGCATTTCTCTAAGGAAGATACACAAATAACCAATAAACACATAAAAAGATGCTTAACATCATTAACTGTCTGGGAAATACAAATGAAAACCATAGTATGATACTACTTCATACCCTCTAAATAACACTATTATTCGTAATAGCCAATAAATGGAAGCAATCCAAATGACTATCAATTACTTAGTGGAGAAATAGGATATATCTAGACAATGTGTTATTTGGCCATAAAAATAAATAAACTATTGATATATGCTGCAACATGAATGAACCTTGAAAACATTATTATGAATGAAAAAGAAAACAGACACAAAATATCACATATTATATGATTCCATTTATATGAAATGCCTAGAATAGGTAAATACATGGAAATAGAAAGTAGATTTGAGGTTGCCAGCGACTTGGGGAGGGATAAGTGGATATGGGGTTTCTTTTTCAGGTTCTGAAACTATTCTAAAATTAGGTAGTGATGATGGTTTCACAACTTTGATTATACTAAAATCTGCTGAATTGGATACTTTACAAGTGTGAATTTTATGGTATGTGAATTATGTCTCAATAATATTTAT